ATAATATTATTATTATAAAAAATATTTATAATATTTAGACTATTAAATAAAATCATATTTAATTAAGATAAATTATTTATATCTAAATTTTAATAGATAATTATAAAAAACTATAAAATAGAATATAATCTATTAATAGTATATCATTAATAGACTAATAGCTAGACTAAAAAAATAATTCAAGTAGTTAAATAATATCTAAGATATTATTTAAATTAGAATCAAGATAATTAAGTAAAGTTATTACTATTTACTTAGTTTATAATAAATAATATTACAAATACATTAATAAAATAAATATTATATTTTACTAATCTAGAAAGAATTCCAAGGATGAGTTAAGAAAATATTAAATAAAAAGAAGTATTAAATAAAGCAAATATTTAAATAATATATATACAATTAATATATAACAATTTGTTAAAAGACATTGAATAGATAGAAATAAGAATAAAGAGATATTATAATAAGAAATATAAGGACACACTAGTATTTAAAAAGAGAAAGAGAGTTTACTTTTTATAATAAATACTAGGATTAAAAAACTTTAATATTAAAAGTATAAGACTAAATGATAAATTTAATATAATTAAATTTAAACTATTTATTATTAAAGAAAAATTTATAAATAATAATTATAAATTTTAGCTATTAGTAAGAATACAAATATATTTAATATTTTATATCTTGTTATTAGAACTAATTATTAATCTAATAAATAAAGATAAGGTAGTAGATAATAAAGAATATAAAATTAAAAAGATACTATAATATAAGTTAGAGAAAGGATAGATTTATTATTTTATAAAATAAAAAGAATATAGACCTAAAAAAGATATATAGAAATCTATTAAACATTTAAATTGTCCTAAGAAGATTTAGAAATAGAGATAGAAGTATAATTAAAAAAGATAGAAGAATTAAAATTAATATTAAGAATAAGATTATTATTTTATAAAGTAAATATAATAGCAAAAAGTTCTTTAATCTCTTATTATTCTTTCACTTATTTTACTTTTACCTTCTCTTTTACTTTTTCTAATTATTCTAACTCTTTAACATTCTTAATATTAGATTAAATAAATTAACCAGTATACTTCTATAATAACTTCTATTATTTATTAAGACAAGCCTATTTTACTAAAAAAGCTTTAATTTTAATATTTATTTTATTACTATCTTCTTCTAAATACTCTTAAGCATAAAAGAATTTCTTCTATATAAAATTAAAAGAAGTCATTAGAATATATTTATAATAATTATTTTTTATATACTTATTACAGTATAATAATATTTCTAATTTTATATAAATTTTATTTAAAGAAAAGTAATAAAAGCAAGATAAAAATAGCTCTATATTAGACTACTTAATATATAATATAAGATTATTCTTATTAATATTTTATTTTAAAGATATAATTAATATAAAATCATAAAGTTACATATTATAAAAAAATTAGAAATTAGAATTAGTTTCCTACACATCTAAAGACATAAGCTATTTATTAAGCTATTAAGATATCAGCTTTTAAAAAAAAAGATTATTAGAGAATTAGAATATTATAGCTAATAGATAAAAGAAATTAATATATAATAAAATAAAAAATTATTTATAATTATCAAGATTAGAGTTATAGAGCCAATAAAGCTATAGCTATATTAATTATATCTATAAGAATAGAGTAAATAGAGTAATAGCTATATTAGCTATAATAAAGAAAAATTATATAAGAATATTTATTTATTCTATATTTAGTTTTCTTCTATCATCTTAAATTAATTATAATAACTTAAATATATAATCTTCTATTAATTAGGATATTTAGAAGCTTTATTCTTATTTCTTTTATCTCATCAGATCTTTTGACCTTAGAAGCCTATTAACTTCGCCCGTTAATAGCTATCCTAGCTATACTCGACGGTAATCCAACCGAAGTTTCCGACATATAGCTAGAAATAAAACCTTATCTAATGGTTTTATTATAAATAATATTAAAGAATATAAAATTAAAGAAATTTGTATAGAAAAAGGCTTTAAAAAGAATAAAATATATTTTATTAAGTAGACAGACTATCTTAAAGAAAGATTATATATGAGAATCTAAGAAAAATATTAATAATTATACTATATTTAAAACTTATCTTTAAAATTGTAAGATTATTTATGACTTAAAGTAAGGAAAAAAGAGATAAAGAAAAGCTTAATTTATAGTAGTTAAAAATAAATATAAGACTTATTTTATATTATAAATTATTAATAAAGGTTATTGGTTATAAGATTTAAAAAGAACTTATATTATATAATTAATAAAGGCTTAGCTAATTAATTATAAAAGTTAAGAGGATAAATTATAAGATTAAGAGTCTAAAAGCCTAGATATAGATGCTTACTTATAAATAGGTTTAATAAGAGAAAGTAAAGAAGACTTTTTTTTTCTGTTAAAGTTAGTAAGATTACCAGCTAAATATATTAACTAGGAATAAGAATAGTAAGGATAAAACTTCTTTAATAAAATAGTATAAATTATTATAATTAAATACTTTTTAAGTGGACTAGGCTAAGTTAATTTATACTTAACTATAAGGTAGTTAAAATTACCTTATTATTATCTTAAGCATTAAATTAATATAAAAAAAATAAGAAATTAATAATATAAAATATATTAAATCTATATTTAATAAAATTTTAATAAAATAATATAATATTAAGATAATATTTACTATTAAGAAAGAAGATGAGGCTAAGAAAAAGAAAGAAAAAAAAAAAGAAATTAGAATAAAAAAGATAAAGATTTATATATATTTACTACTAGTATTAATCTTAACTATTTTCTATATATTTAATCCTCTATCTAATACTTATTATCTATCTTTAATTTCTCTACTAAAAATAAAGATTTTATTACAAAACTTAAACTACTAATTCTATATATTAAATCTTATAAATTTATAAAATTTTAGACTCAGGGACATACCTTTATAAAGAGGAGAATAGCTATAAGATAAAATCCTAGATAGAGTTAGGAATAGCTTCAAAGTATAGCGGATATATAACCTCACCCAGCTTCCTGCTGCTAATTAGACTAGCAGCTTGGCATACACCACCTTATAACCGCGGGTGGCCTCAGGCCTTAGTGAAGCAGCAATTAACTGCTGAGCATACGTGTATATACATTATATATTCGAATCTATTCCTAGGCCGAAGCCGAATCCCAGCTACGTTCTTGCAACCCCCGTCACAGTTTCTGAAGGCAGAGAGCTGGTACAGTCGCTTGATGAAGTTAATAACCTCTCTCCGCTAGTTAATCAAAATGATACTTTGCAGGCACCTTGGCGCGCATTTCCTAGATATAATAATTGCTGGCAACTAGGGCATAAATGTAATAGATGCCCTAATCCTCCTAGCTAGTTAAATCTATATTTTTCTACTTCTATATACAATTTATAAGGGTTGAAAAAATAATGTGGGTCCTCGGTGTCCGGTTTACTCGGGTGTCCGGTTTACTCGGGAAATACGTTAGATGCTGTCGATCGTTTCAGCTATTTCGCTTGACGTCAGTGTTTTCGCCCCACATGTCACGGTGCCATGCCGTCCCGCCCGTTCCTGTCGTCTTGACCTGTCTCGACTGTTCCTACCGTTCCCACCGTTCCGTCTATTCTTACCACTCCGCGTGTTTCTGCCGTTCTGCCTGTTTGTCCTGTTTACTCCGTTTGTTTTGTTTGCATCCGAGCCCCGTATATAAGCCCGTCCTATCTGTAGAGATTTTATGTAGCTCCTCGAGCTGCGTCCTGTATCTGACCTGTACCTGTATTGTCGAGATAACCTGACTGCAGTAATCTGAACCAACTTATGATCCTCCCTGTACTGCCTGTCCTCGCACCCTGACACCACAATCCCACAAGGCCGCCACTGCGAAGAGTCGATCGGATCTTGGAGGGTGGTATAAGTGAAGACTAAAATTGGCAGCAGAACAGAGTCCGCTGAAGATAATGCAGACAACAAGTTGTTACTCACAATATGCCTGATGTTTTGTATATGGAAAAATTAATGGGCTAAAATTAGTAAAAATATAACAGCAGCACGAACGCCTGCTAGTCGAAATAGGCTTAGTTTACTAGAAGCTAAAAACGTCCCCATCGTATCTGGCCAGAGAGCGCTTTTCGAAAATCGACTTTTGACCATCTTAAAGGGACCCACACCACAGTATTAAATTGTGGTCAGGGCAGTACTTAAGAAGTAATGTGCCTGCCGTTTAACATCTGTCAAAGTCTCAACAATAAGTCAATCATGGTACATAATGCGGATACTGCCTGTCAGAAGCAGCCTCAAATCTCTCAAGATGCCTTGTGGAGAAAGCAACAACGACAATAGCGCAACCGCCGTGGCAGTACACTCTTGAAAAAAGCCTACGAGCTAAGCGTTATAGCTGATGCCGAGGTCTTTATTGGCATCAGATTTCGAGATGGCCAGGTCAAGACATTCCACGCAGATAAGACGAGCTTTTGGTCTTCACAGTGTCGCACCTGGTACAGTACCATATTCCATTCATAAGAAAATCTCCAGAGTTAACCCGAACAGGATTCGTATTATCCCATCCCTCAACAAAAAACGCCGAGTGACTTTGTCTCCATGAAGACAAGAGGGGAGGCAGTCCAGGCGCGGATAAAAAATGAAATACTATTAAATTTCCTTTAGGTGTCGCTGTAATGGGAAATCGTCCGCCGTCAGAATTGCCATTTATGGATAAGCGCCTGGCCAGGAATGCTCAACTCCAGATTACTATGTAGTTCGAACAACCTCAATATATACTAACAAACTCACGTACAAACTAATGAGTGCCTGGGCGATAGCTTCCCTTCTTGGGAAACATATGTACGCACTACGGAGACTGACACTAGTTCAATATAAAAACAGGGTCTGATTAAGCCACGCTCTAGAGATAATGATGCAGGCTGGTCTTATCACACAACGTTCCTGCCCGGGGTCCTTGCGCACACTATCACTGTGGCGTTTTATTAACAGCCTATAAACATCTAGTCAGTTTCAATATCATTTTAGATTGAGAAAGCCAGGGTTCAAGTACCACCTCTAGCAGTGGCCAGCTACGCCAGCTCCACAGCCAACCACGGTCATCTTGCTGGGCAGGCCAGATAGAATTGAGCCAGATAGAGTTGAAGATAATCTCTATCAGCATATTGCCTTCAAACAAATCACGCTTGTCACCATGATCCTGAACACGCTTTACCGCTCTCAATCCAGTCAGGACATCCATCTCTACTATCCAAGTAGAACCCAGAACTTTAAAGATTTCGGCATGAAAAATGAATGCATCCAGTCTATAGTGGCAATTTTGCTGGGGTTCACAGTGCGGACGAAGGGTCAGCTTCGCAAGCCGCCTGCTTCCTCCCTGGTGGACGCGGATGTGAGTGAAGACCGCTTCAGATAGATCCTGATCGATGGCGTAGTTAATCATGGTGTCTCGAACGTACCATATAGGCAGGTCATAATAAGTGCGCGGTGTTCGGTCTTTTTCGAACTCGGTTAGGTCGCGCGGTGGGATGGGGGTTTCGTTGGGGCCTACTTGGGCCAGGCAGTTCAGGAGGAGGTCGAGTTCTGTGAGACATGGGAAGTTGGCTAAAGCAGTATATACGTCTGTTTCGAAACCTCGATTGCGTTGAACGCAGATCCGCAGTTTTTCGAGTGAAGGACACTGGGCTGCTAGGGACCGGATATCCTCAGCAGTGAATTTGGGGCCAAACGGTCCCCTTTGTGAAAGTCTGCGTAGGGCTTGTTGGTTCCATTTATCGGATTCCTCGTTCAGCTTCAGCTCGAGCAATGTTTGCCCGTGCTTGCGGAGGATTGCCTGGGTGAGGAAGCTTGGCTTGTAGGCGCCCAGGAGGCAGAGATATTTTAACAGGGGTAGTGAATCGAACATTGCCTCTGTGGCTGACCAGAATTCTAGACTGTCTCTCTGCGGTGGAAATAGGGCGAGGGTGAGCCCTGTCAATTGTTGGAAGGGACGGAGGTCTGTAATTGCCCTAAGTAGGCGGGAGTCTTCGACGCAGCCAACGGACCACGATTTCAGACAGCTATAATCAACAATCCGATCCCATTTGAGGAACTGCAGAGCTGGCATCTCGGTGTTAAGAGGCCAGGATAGTAGTTCGAGCTTCGCACGCACGGGCGTCGTGCCAGGCTCTCTTTCCACTACCACGGTCTCATTGTAGTCCGGCCGTGGACCAACATGACCGCCCGCAGAGATCTGCAAGGCAAGCTTCTTGACATGAGGTGCACGTGCAACAATCGCCTCGAGGAGTCTATCTGGATGTTCGCGGAACTTCCTGCGGTCCGGATTTTCGAAACAAGTAACATGCGCGGTGTGCAGCCGGGGCAAAAGGACCCAGTCGCCTAGTTTTACATTTCGGACTTGAGCCGGAGGGGGACTCGAGTAAACGGACAATCTACACGCAGGGTGGTAGTGTAAGATGGCTTGATGAAGCTCCACTGGGCCACCCATAGAAATAAGAAGATCGACAGCCCGCAAAGGAGGGAGCTGTCGAAGGAGATCAATCGCGGCAGCCCAATCTCCCTTTCGGCAGGGACTAAGTCGAGGGATATTCTGATTTTCGTCGTCTAGGGTAAACTGTTTGTGGCTGTAGGTATAATCTGGTTGGATTCCAGTGTCTGGATGCCATTGGGCGATGATGCTCAGTCGTTTCACGTGAGCAAGCACACGATTGGCATCTGGCAGCCAGAACAGTTTTTGAGGAACTCCCTCTTCCAACATATGTATGTTGATATGTTCGTACAGGAGCGGTGCAGCTATTCTATTCCATTCTCGGTTTACCTGGCAGAGTGCACGCAGGCTTTCCATTGGTGTCTGAAGCCACGATCAGAGGTCGAACAACAGGCCTAGAGGGAGATGACTCACGCATTCTGCAATGATATGCTTGATTTCTGCGGGAAGTCGATTCATGGTCTATCTGTGGACGTTAAAAGCCAAATTCAGAAATACTCTGCGATCATCATTTATCTCAGACGTTCTCTGCAGAGTCTGCACTAGCGCAAGAATTCTGCCTTTGCCCAATTAGGGCCTACTCCTACGCTCCTGTCAGATTAACCACTTGACAGCGGATTATGACCGCTATTCCGAATACAGCATGTAATCCACAACCAACACCGTATTTCACAGAGGTACACCTAATTGGCCAGAATAGGCATCGGATACGTGTCTTAGTTGACCCCTATTCTAATCATAAATATGGCCTCAAGTAACCCCCTGAATATTCTCTTTAGTTTGATATGCAGATTATATAGTATTCTCAATACTAGCTAATACAGCGTTCCGAATCCGTTGTTACCATTATACCAAAAAGGACGTCGGGTTATAGGGGCTAATCTTTCAATGCCCTGACTACCGATACATAATCTAACAGCTCCGGCACCAGCCGGAGCATCTGAGGAAAAAAGCACACTTCTATTAACATCCTCCTAGCAGTAGCCCGCCCTACTTCTAGCATACTCAATAGGTGTAGGCCTTTAAGCTGGTCAGATATATCTCATTCTTGATGAGTTGAGATACTATTACTTGAATCTAAAGTGAATAGCATAATTATGAATGAATCTTGCCTGCATCACATCGGCATGCCGCATTAATATTATTATGAATCTATGATAATGCTGGTAATTAATGACTCTGTAATGCTTGCAACTGCCCAGATCATCGGCTTATATGGATAATACGTCGTTGCATTCGCATAAAATGCCTTGAAGGCTTCGTTTTCTTCCTCTGTGAATGATGGAGGAACACCAACATTCAGAGACTCCCGACGTTTAGCGAGACCCTGACCTTGACAAGAGATCTTTGGACCACCTGCAGAGACAATAGCTCGTTCCACGCATCCAGCTTTGATAAAAAATGGTAAATTGAAGTAAACATATGCATCTGTGGTGGAAGTAGCAGCTGTCCAAGACCAGCCAGTCAATGCTCCACAGCCATCCTCTTGATGATGCAGTGAAGAACCTCCATCTGTCACCCAACCCGAGATGCCAAATACCTCAAAAGTATATCCCCAACCCTCGTCCCAGAAGTAACAGGTAGCCGATGTGGGCGTGGGTGTGACGGTTATCGTAGTGGGTGGCAGAGTAGTAGTCGTCGTTGAACCAGCATGCGTAGTTGAGACTGAAGACGTGGTTATGGCTGATGTTGTCCCAATGATGACGACGGTGATGATGGTCTCAACTGCTGGATCGACGGTGATTGTGTTTGAGCTGATGGTTAGCACAGTTGTGCCTGCTGTCTCAGTAGGGACGGTGATGATATTGCCGTTGCCAAGTGTGACAGCCCCATTGGCGCCGACTACGTAGGTTGTTCCAGCGGCCACAATCTCCTCGGGAATAGTTGTGGTGGTTGCAGTGTAATATTGAGCGCCGTCCTCGCCTTGATCATCTGTGGACCAAACATCGACGCCACTGGCCAGACAATAAGAGCCTGTGGTGGTTGTCATGGCTGTGACATCGCATCCGGTAATTTGGGCAGAACTGGTGGTCGAACATGCCGTACCATCGCAGGAGACCCAGTAGTCCGTAACTGCAGACTTAGAGATGCATGTGGTGGACGTCGATGTGGTGGACGTTGATGATGCATCGCAGTTGCTGGTGCAGAATTTACCGCAGGAGCTAGCGGTGCTGGGGGAGCAGGTGGGGGAGCTCCTTGCGCTGGTGTAGTGGGTTGTCTTTTGTGATTTGTCTTTATTGGGCGGACAGTCAATGGTGAATATATCGAACAGCGTGAAGCAGGGGGCGTCAGGGATTGGGGGCAACTCTGGGGGGTTCACCGTGGGCACCGGAATGTCAGGGTTCAACACGGGAGACCAGTAGAAGCCGCCGGTGTTGACGGGAATGACGATGGAGGTTGTCGTGGAGTCCCTTGTTGTGGTGGTGGTGATGGTGGTGGTGGAGTCAATGGTGGCCAGGCTGTTGATTTGCTCCTCCATCCAGGTAAACATGACGCTGCCCGAGGCTGATATCATGCTGGTTAGGGTATTCTCAGTCAGGGACACTGCGGGCGTTGTAGGGAGGATAACAACTACAACTATTGATATGGTGACTGTGCTGCCCTCTACAAAGACCATCTCAATGACTGTTTGGGTTGTTGTAGTGGGAGAAAGGAGGTCTATGACAAGAGAAATTCCTCCATCATTCAATGTGATGGTGCCGCTAAAGACAGTATACGACGAACCATTGACGACACCCACCTGCGGCGTGTAGGGAGACTCGATAGGCGGCGGGTACAGGGTAGTAGGAAATATATCACCGGGCAGGACGAGTATCACCAGTGGGGGGCTAAAGCTGCTAACCAGGTTGAACGTAGTGGTTGGAATGCCCAAGGAAGGGCCTTCCCACTGGAAGAAACTAATCTGTGAAACTATGATGGATGGAACTGCCACCCAACTTGTGGCTGAAACGCCTCCCTCGTAACTGATCAGTAGATATAGAGGAAAGTTAACAACCATGAGAGTAGCAAGAGAAGAGGTAGGCTATACCATAATGAAGGGAGGGTAGCCGGCCACAGTTGGGCTAAACTCATTAAAGATAATCGGGTTAATATAGATAACGCCCAAGCCATCATGATCCTCATTGCCGTCCTTAGACTACAGGTCAACGGCCCAGTCTACCAAGCTAAGAAATGTAAATAGCTCGTACAGGGCGACGCGCACCGCCTTATTCGTGTCGTTCATATATCCAGCCCATTAGGTCTCATTAAAGACCAGGATGTTGCTGTACGAGTCGTCGTCCCAATAAAGCTCCGCGGTAGGGTTCTCCGACATCACCAGCTCCAGCTCGTAGTTCGCAATATACCCGGCAGTATCTGTGCAAGGGCCTGGCCACGCCCCAGAGGAAGGACCGGTATAAGTGCACATGTCAGTCCAGCAACCTGCCTCGGTCATCTCGAAGGATCGGGCGTAACTGGCCACTCCAACAGCCACCTTGTTCGACGAGACACCGGCCTTGGTGATCATGGAGAGGGAGCTGAGGGTTTCAGTGAGATTAACGTGTGAACGCAGGCAGTTGCCAGTATCGCATCCGCTGTCCGCGAAAGCACTGCCGTAGTCCCATTGCCCATGTAGGTCATAGGTCATGTAAACAATGTAATCCACAACAGAGGCTATCGCCTCAATAGGGAACCGTTCCAGGTACCAGAAAGACGCAGGGGCGGTGATAGACAATGTCTTATCTGATGGCAAGGCGTCTTTGAGGACGAGCAGGGTAATGTAATAGTTGGTGGCGTCTGCAGTGGTACCTGCGGGAATGCCGGGGATATCAGGCTCATCAGGGTACTCCCAGTCGAAGTCCACACCGTCCAGGTCATATTCGTCTAGGAAGCTGACCACGTTGCTGACCAGTGTGTCCCGATTTGCCGAGGTGACAGCATCGCGGAAGATCATGTAGGTGTCAGCACCTGTAGAGAAGTCCCATCCACCAATCGACAGGATGCGCTTGACTCCTGTCATGTTGGATAGCAGAGAAAGCTGATCTTCCATGCCGTCTACGCTCAGGGTCATGTCACTGTTGATTGTGGCAAAGGCAAAGTGGATGTGCGTGTAGAAGGTGGTGTTGATCTGATCCACCGACATAGCCAAACAGGATCGGGTTTGGTCACTTCCTTCGAAGTAGGCAATCGAGTACGTTTCAGCCGGGGCATCACTAACGATGATATCTGTGCCACAGTTGGAGATGCAGCCATTCTCGCCGCTGGCTGCTGTCCCAGGGTTTCCAGTTGTCGAGTTCGATGGCGTGCAAAAGTCCGCGGTAATACCACATTGACCCCAGATATCACAGCAGGCGTTAAGAGGGCATTCGTTCAAGGTGCTGAGATCGGTTCCATGGGGTGCAGTACTGGTATTATTGACCTGAGGGCCACATACCGCGTTAGGAATATTGGCCGGCATCGGCGGCCATCCGTTACTAAGACAGATATAGCTGCCTACCAGCAGGTCACTGCAGCCCATCCAACCCCAAGTGCCATTACTACCGGTGTTCCAGGCCTCGATTTCATCAACGGTAATATCATACGCCGCGGCCAAGGCCGAGCAGGTATCCCCAGTCTGCACGGTATACGAATAGCAGTTATCATCAGTGTCAGGCTGGGGAGCATAGTTCGGCAGATCTCCGGCGGTGCAGCAAACATGTTGACCAGCGACCAGGGTTGAACAGAGATCGGACGAGGGATTGTATTTAGTGAACTCAGCAGCCGTGATACCACACTCGGTGGCTAGGGTGCTACAAGAATCGCCCGAGACAACTTGAATAGTGGTGCACTCGTTACTGTCGTCACGAGACTGCAGTTTCTTGGCTTCTTGGGCATGGCGCAGCTCCTTGTCGGAGTGTGTGCGGCGGTGCAATAGTTCTCGTGTAGCCAGACGAGTAGAGTTGGTGGCCAGCGAGGAGTTCAAGCGCGAGGACGGCGCCAGAAATGAGAGGGTATCCCAGTCTGGAGTCCACTCCTCCATGGTGGTCAAACAGCCGCTGTTACGCCAGGACTGAATGGCTTGTTGTGTAGAGGAGAGGTCAGCATTGGTGCTAACAAAGACACCCAGCGAGTACCTGGCCGTCGAATTATTGCATAACTGGACAATAGTCTCCTGAGCAATGCTGTTATCCGTCTGAACTTGAGTGATTAGCTTATCTAACACAGGCAAGATGACCCCCTGGCTGCTCAGTGCAGAGCCAAGATAGACGCCCACAGCCGCCTTGTCGGTGTAAGCAACTTGGATCCTCTCTTTGCAGTCGGATTGAGAGACGGCGAAGGCAGCTTGAAGCTGCTCTAGCAGATTGACCACGTCTGCGGTGGCAATGGAAGAGGTAGAACCAGACGAGGCCATCTGGATGGAGGAGGTGACAGTGGACGGGCTAACAGAGTTCGACAAACAGCTGGTATTATTAGTCGTCTCTCGATTCGCCAAAGAAGATAATTCAAAATCTGCAGAGCAAGCTGCAAGACTGAGATGTGTTCTTGGATTGTCCAGCTCATTGAACAGGTTGAAGTCTAACAGCATAGGGCTGTCACACAGATCCAGCCGTTCCAAGCGATGATAAACAGACCAAGCAGTGGAGTCCAGACCACTTTCACTGCAGCTTACAGGACACCGGCTTCTCGCTGCGTGTGATATGGGCGAGGTGGCGTTTGCCAAAACAGCTGCCTTCAAACTGGCTGTATCCGGAGTTTGAGAGGCCTTGCGTGTAGAGATAGGATGTGCTGCCAGGTAGGCACTGACAGACGAGGAGACTTCAGCTGGGTCCACGTCCGCCATGTTTGCCTGGCCTGGCATCGCCTGGTAGACAAGTGACCCGGCAAGGGCACCTGCCAGACCACCAGTCCATCGCATGACAGGTGGCAAGAACAAAGACAGGTAGGATATGAAAAAATGATTGGAACACAAAGAAATGAAGCCAAGAGAACAAAGGAAAAAAGGGACGGCTTAAAGTCAGGAAAGAGCGACTGTACTCTGCGCACGGAGGATGGGTTGAGTCCTTCAGAAAGACGGAACGATGGAGACCAGGCATGTCTCTTATGCTAAACTTCGGGTCGAGGAAGCCTCGCGATCACATAATAATTTCCGAGGCATCTCTCCATGATTCGATAGTGCTCTGCCATGAGGTAGAGTCAACAACTAGACTAGCTAGTGCGTGGCATATGTACCTAGCCGAAAGGAGACAAGGTACTAGTAGTTAGGGTTACATAGTAATGGGCAGTCCTAGGTACAGCCCGATGTTTTCTAATGTGACGTTGATCTAGGTACTCATCATAGCCTTAGGGTACTTGTATTGGAGTACATTAGATTTGTTTGGAAGCGTTTTTGTTTTGGGACTACCTACTGCCAGCATTATCGTCGAATCATAACAAATCAAATGACCAGATACTAGTTTAGCAAAATCAATTGGTTGCATAGTATCCTTGTCTTCACCTTGATTGCAAGCTCCACATGAGAATACCTAGAGCCCTATCGCGGCGTTTGAAAAATTGAAAAATGGGTGATACCTTGGTCACTATAAAGCTGTACTATTTCCGCAGTACTAGCTACATAGTTTATCATAGGCTCAGATACAGGGTCGGGGGAGTCACTGACACCTGCTGACGTGACTCTTTGTCTAGTCAAGTCTTGCATTCAACTACTCCGGTTGACCCTGGTGATCTCCCTAGTACAAGGTACAGGGAACTAGCAAGGATTGCGTTCCTTCGGAAGGTTAGGCCCACCTGGCTATGCGTACATCAGGTTAAATTGCCCGGTGGTAGATAGAAATAACCACTTGCTTGTTAGTACGCCGGGCTTGCCATATAATTATATTGACCACCAGAAATCGTCTTCTTTCTTAGGTAGTGGCACTTCTAGTAATACTCAATTTTATGCCGCGTATTCCGCTGTCACATAACTATGGTAACAATGTTATATATCAAAGGAAAATTATAATCTCCATACTACAAATAAACAGAGAAGCCAAGAAAGATTCAATCTAAACACTACATAACTCCTTAATATAGGCACTTCTATACAGAAAGCTAGAGATCGTATCGGGTGGAAAATTGAGCATTCTAGTCAAGATGTTGGTTCTGCATCATTACCTTTAACCACGCCAAGATGAGCACCTACGACCTATAGGATTCAAGGCCACACTAGAGCTAGATATTCTAATCAATATTTACATCTTAATGAAATACGTGTATTTAGGTTGCTGGGAATAGCTCCAAATATTCAAGACGCGGTGAACGTTATCTAGCTTGACGTGCCCACTAAAGCATAACGAAGTTGGACATGTCGCTTTCTCAGATACATATATGCCACAGCTTATTTTCTCGCTACTTTCTAGAAATTGTAGCTTCTGCACGCAGGGAGAATCCAGGAAGGGTCCATACATGTTCAAGTCGCAGTGTAGGTAGTAATGAAGAAAAGCATGTGGAGGCATAGTCCATACTCCTCAGTTATCAGAATGTAGCATTTCTCTTCTTTCTTGGTTCCAGCGTTCTTCCAGACCCAAACCTTAGAGATTGTCTTCAGGCCAGTAATGTTATCTTCATCAATCTGGTCAGCACCCAGTGCGCCTTTGTGATTGATCAGAAACCATGCCTAGGCATTCCCATTAGGAGTCCCAAGCAGAGCCTAAGCAGCCTCGTTACTCGCATCGAAATCCCAGTATCCCCCAACAGAGTCGGGTGTGGAGGGGATAACCATTAGTATAACGTTTCTGATATCAACATTGACAACATTCATACAAAAGATATATTGGATGTTGCTCGGTTCCACACCATTCACACTCGCCTAGTTGGCCCATTCAATCCACATCACGTCCAATAACTGTTGGATTTCGGGGAGCACTCCATCCGAGGGCCATGAGCCATCAGATAACAGTTCCTGCTTGATATAAGCTAGCCTATAAGTTGAATCCACAATAATAGCACCTGCCTGAGCGTTGTACCAGCATTGATAGAAGGCTTCGTCAGACTATTATTAGAAAATATTTGTCGTTAGCCTTCAGATTCTGTTGTCACCTCGAGCGGTGTCTAGGGCAGATATCTCAGGAGAACGAGATAAAAACAAGGGAAGAAAAGAGAAAGAAATGTACATACCTCTATCTGGTGCATCTAATTCACAACTTCAGACTTGTCCAGAGAAATTCTGAGACTCGACAGCGTTAACAGGCCCAGGTATTTATCAATAAATCCCACTAAACTATCATAACCAGGTTCTCTTTGCCAGCCATCGGCGATTAGTTAGTTTGTGATAATATATTATGCTACAACACTGCCATGTCCCAGGAAGGTTGTTGCCTCTATATCTGACATCTGGATCGCACATAGCAATCTGTTGCCTGCTGCCATGCAATAGCCATAAATATATTTCAAAGCCCTCTTGGCCAAGATATGGCCCTGTGAAACGCCATGCAAGAAGACTTTAGAGGGAGATGTTGGAACCCATGCCCATGCATTATTTGCAAAGAGTATGTTATGAAAGAGAAAAAGAATGGCTAGAGCGAAGCTGAAATTAAGGACAGCTATAGTGGAGCGAGATAAAAGACTAACAGTTAAAGAGTGTGTATGAGGTTAAGAAATAGGAGGAAAGTTAACAGATGAAGGGCGGTCCTGGTTGATTATGGAAAGGGTGATCCAGATTGAATGCAGATGGTATAAGATAATAATAAGTAGCTTGGTTAAGTCTATCTCTATACCATTACTACAAATTCGCCCGTGTCAGCCTCCAATGCTGTCAGTTGACATGCTTAGGGCTAAGTACCCATTGTTTCCTCCAGTCCTAGCTCTCCTGGCTAGCAGCAACTAAATCGTCTGATTTCCGAGTCAAGTCTATGCACTAGCTAGTAGCTACAGGGTCTAGGAATTAGAGCCAATTCAGGAAGTTCAGAGCGCAGATGATAAGCCCTAATGCAGGTATTGTATGCAGCCACCTAAATACGACACGGATAGATGAAATACGCCACAAAATTATACTGCATTAGCAACCTTGGAGGCTGCGACCACAATTATATTGTCTTTTTTTTTTTTAAAAAAAAAGACAATATAATTGTGGTTGCAGGATAATATATAATTTGCCTTAGCCTGGTTGTCTGATAAGTTTTTAGCTATAGGGCACTGTACTCTATATACTAAAATAATATCCCTCTCTGTTAATAGAGAAATAATGCTCATATTCATACATTTGGTCCTTTTGGTAGCTTGTGTGATCTTCTTTAACAATATATATTTGTCTTATCTGTTAGTTTCTAGTTTTGTTACTCGTCTTGTGGGAGCATATCTGATATTGCTTTCTGGGACTGCTGCCCCCAGAGCAACTGCTGATTGCAGCGAATGGGTTTAACAGTCCTATGGCCTAACATGTGCCATCATTGAGGAGTTTTATGGGATGACCGAGGCTCAGTTTGAAGCATGGGTAAGTAAGGTTCATTTCTAAATACTAAATCTATTATGACTAACATTGATAGAATCTAAGCACCACTGAACTGGGTCCCGGTTGTACCCTAATCTTGGGACTCTATTACTGTGTGCAAATTAATTTCTTTATAATAACTATGTTGTCGATAGGCCTGTTAATAGCTAGTGTTATAACCTCCATGACTACAATCTCTATGATTATTGTTGCAACCATAACTTTCATGGGCGATAGAATATTAACTCCCACGCTATATTAAACAGGCATGGCATCTAACTGTAATAGTTTCTATCTAGTAGTTAGTGGAGATACTTGTGATATGATTACTGCAGAATATAGAATATCCCTTACCCTATTCTACACCTGGAATCCTGCAGTTGGATTAGATTGTCAGTTTCTAGATTTGGGTGACTATGTCTGTGTTGATGTTATTGGAGTAATACCAATGGCAATTGTTATATCAACAATAAGCCAATCTAATGGTATTACGATTCCTACACCATATTAAGCAGGGATGGTAACCAATTGTGATAGATTCTATTTGGTGGCTAGTGGAGATCAATGTGGTGATATTGCTATAAAATATGATATATCTCTTGCCTAGTTCTATAGCTGGAATCCAGCTGTTGGCTTAAGCTGCTAGTATTTAGATCTTGGTGATTATGTCTGTATTGGTGTTGAAATGTGTACATCAGCTTCAGTTCTAGCCGGTGTACCTTAAGGTGGAGTAATCTGTGGTGCTCCTGGAGCTTCACATGATAATTCTGGCTCATTTCTAATTATTTCATATACTTCTGGTTTCTATGTGCAGAGTGCAGCTGCTTGCGGAGCATAATGTATAGCCATATCTGGCTGTACAAATCTCTATTTTATCCAAGGAAGCTATTGCAACTTGTATGAAGGAGCAAGCACTTTTGTAGAAAGTACTGTATCCCCATATTATATATGGTATGATGCAGCATGCTTTGCTGGGAATAACACTTGTGGTATTCCTGGAGCTTTACATGATAATTCTGGCTCACTTCTAATTACTTCATATACAGCTGGAAGTCTATATGTTGAGAGTGCAGCTGCTTGTGGAGCACAATGTCTAATTACACCTTCCTGTATTAATCTTTATTTTATTGAAGGAAGCTATTGTAACTTGCATAAAAGGATAAGCACCTTTGTAGAAAGTATCTCTGTGTCTCTAGTCTACTATTGGTATAGTGCGTCTTGTTTCTCTTCTGGGGATGCATGCGGTTCATATGGTTTCTCGGATGATAATCCTACCACCTTGATTATCTTATATACTTCTGGTTCCTATGTACAGAGTGCTGCTGCCTGTGGAGCGCAATGTCTCTCTACATCTGGCTGTACAGATCTCTATTTCATCCAGGGAAGCTACTGCAATCTGCACTCACCAAGTTCATTCTACGCCTCGACTGCATCTGGTTACTACTCTTGGTACCAATCGGACTGCTTTGCATGTAACGCATTAAGCGTATGAATAAACTGGAGAATAATCAACTAACAATGAATACGATCTGTTGTCTTTTTCTTTTCTATCTTTTTTTGGTATAAATTATATTGGTGACGTCCTCGCTGATAACTTCCTGCTCTTAGTGCAAGGGAATTATGAAGGAGCCCATACACAATAGTCATAGTACAGCTTACTTGGTGGGATTGCAACAGAGCAGGTATATATCCTGACTGATTTCTACAGCTGGAAGTCAGCAGCTGGCCCAAACTGACGGTATTTGGACATGGGAGACAGCGTGTGTATTGATATTTGGAGTGACACCAAGTGCTATTATTACTATTATTGGGGATAGTATCAAACGCTCTACCTTCTACCAAACAGGCATGGCAACAAACTGGGTTGACTTTTTTACGTTATGTGTTAGTGGCGATCAATGTTGTAATTGGAGCCAACGGTCCGGTGGCCCAAGCTTGTTGGCTATGTTCTATGAAGCCTACTAGCCTATGGGCCAATACTAGAGGGAGTGAATTTCGGTGGTTCTCTAATAATATTACTACTAAATGGAAAAGCTGCCTTTGTAAAAGCGCCAACTAATTGGCAGGGCTTAGTAGGCTAGTCCTAATTTATTGGCTACTGATGTACCACAAACCCCCATAGGCCTAATAAACAACGAATTAGAGAGAGTTAAACGCCGTCTCAGCGACTATCTAATTATAGTACATCAAAAAGCTACTTTTCACTTTAGTGGGCCTAAGTTATTTTTTAAAAAAGCGCCAAGCCGCTGCTCCACAGCCCCATGCGATGCCCGGCGCCAAGGGCTCCAGTATGATGTTGTAGTTATCCAATATAGGCGCACGGCCTATGGAGGACCCAGCTTAATGCTGCTTTCCTATCACAGAACCACGCGACATATCATGATACGTCAAGGGATAGCTGGGATATGTTTTGTTTTCTTCTCTTTGTATTACGTCTTGTCTCTTACTGTTCTTACTGTTCTTACTGTAATCCTTAGATTCGCTAGTTCTATGTACAAATCCTTACAAGCCAGCATGTTATCTAGTGGCATAGCCAGGGCTGGCTCATATATGCTGCCAATGAAGATAAAACTAGCCATTTCTGGAACATCGTAGTACAGATCTCATATATGATGATTCATGCTCGAAAATAGAACGCTTGTTTAGGCTCTTACCCTAAGTACTAGACTCTTGCTTCCATTTCTGATTAGGAGAGAAAAGGCCCAGCGGCGCCCGCACATTCTGATACTGGGCTCGCTCAAAGTCAATAAATATAACCTCTTGAGTCTCTTCATTCCACATCATGTTCCCTAGGGTGGGGTCGCTGTGAAGGATGCATGGCTGTGAATAGCATATAGTGCTATCTGGGCTTGTTCAATAAGCTGAGTCTGATTAAGATTGTATTGTCCAGCTAGTGTTCTTCTAGTGTAGTTTATCAAAGTTAAATGAACCATCATGGTGATTCTATTATAAGAGAATGGTCGATAAATGTTTAGATTATTAAGTACCACTAACACATATTTTCTCTAAATAGTAGTAAGATGAGAGTATATTATCTCTTCTTATTTAGTATACTTAATAAATTTAATTAATATATCCTTTCTAATAAATATATAACTATATGATTAGAGAGTAATCTTAAAAAGAGCCCTATATATGCTATGAATATGAAGTGATTTGTATTTAAGCTCTGTATTTAGATCTAAGTTCTTTAAAAGCTGTTGATCTAATAATTTTATTAGTATTTAAGTATTTAGTTAATGATAATTAATTTTATATTTAGTTACATTTGGATATTTATGATTTAGCAGTCTTTCTTGGTGTAAGCCGCAAAGACATTGTTGAGAATAGTATTTTTAAGTCTTGCTTTTTAAAGTTGAATGTTATGATCTTGTAGATATTTGGGATACTATAATAGTGATTTGAGGTGGAGAAAACTAAGAGTTATGTGGTCTCTGACTGGGAGTTTGGTCTTAGTGATTATTAGTATCTTTATTATGGTCTAATATAGATGATCTTAGTAATGGCTAGTAGGATAGAGCTATTGTTGACTTTGATCTGGTCTTGATGAGAGATATATAATAATATTTAGTTTGGCTTGATGGTAGTTTATAGGTAGAAATAGGAATATTTTTCTTTTTAATTTCCTTTAGAAGATTATTATATACTATTTCTTATATTTATAGTTGATCTATTATTTAGTTTCTCTAATTTATATCTTATAAAGAAGTTTGTAAAGCTTATAAGATAAAGATTAAAAGCTGGCTGATAGTAATTAGATATAACTAATTATTATTGTTTTTATCTTTATTTTAACTAATAGTATTACCTATATCTTTTTTTAGCATTGATAGAAAATATTGGATAGTAGAAGAGTTATGATAGAGTACTTGAAAAAATATAAATACTTTCCTGATGTAGATATAGCTATATTTATATCTATTTTTATATATATAATATGTAGCTTGTATAATTACTGCAGCAATTATATAGTGGTAGATATTTTCTAGTGATTTATCTTTCTAGTATTGTAGAATATTGTCAAGAACTATGTTCTATAATCTGGTTTAGATATGGGCAAGAGAAAACTTATGCGGGGTCTTGTTTTTAAATATTTGTCGGAAACTTTGGTTGGATTACCGTCAAGTATAGCTAGGATAGCTATTAACAGGCAAAGTTAATAGGCTTCTAAGATCAAAAGATCTAATGAGATAAAATAAATAAGAATAAGGCTTTTAAATATTTTAATTAATAAAAGATTATATACTTAAATTATTATAATTAATTCAAAATAATAAAAAAAAACTAAATATAAAGTAAATAAATATTCTTATATAACTTTTCTTCATTATAATTAATATAACCTTTACTCTATTCACTTTATTTCTATAGATATAATTAATATAACTATAGCTCTATTAACTTTATTATTTTAACCTTAATAATTATAAATAATCTTTTATTTTATTATATATTAGTTTCTCTTATCTATTAGTTATAATATTCTAATTCTCTGATAATCCTCTCCTCTAAAGGCTAGTATCTTAATAGCTTAATAAATAGCTTATATCCCTTAGATATGTAAGAAGTTAATTCTATCTCCTAATTTTTTTTTTATATAATTCTATAATTTTATATTAATTATATCTTTAAAATAAAACATTAATAAGAATAACCTTGTATTATATATTAAGTAATTTAATATAAAATTATTCTTATTTTATCTTTATTACTCTTCTTTAAATAAAATTTATATAAAATTAGAAATATTATTATGTTATAGCAAATACATAAAAAATAGTTATTATAAGTATATTTTAATAGCTTTTTCTAATCTTACATAGAAGAAACTTCTGTGACGATGCAATGCCAAATCTATTTGGTCGCTAAACACGAAGAGACTAAACTGGAGAGAAGAAGAGGAAAGAATAACTACCGGCCCCTTTTCTTCTACTTATACTTTCTTCTATTCTAGATACCTATAAGCTATCTCTATTATGTGCTGATGCCTAGTAATCTAGATTTCTAGAAGATTCTAATAATATAGAATACTAGCTGGCAAAGGCTATTTATCTTTTTTAATATTATATAGATCTTCTAGTAATCTACAGTGTAAATTAAAATATAAAATAATCTTTATAAGGTATATCTAGTCTTATATCTTCCTTATATGTAATTTATCTATAGAAAATAGCCTATAGGTACTTTTATAATAATTATATACTACTAAACTAAATTATATTAAATTATTATATTATCTTCTATTCTAAGCAATATTTATTCTAAATATTAAGTTAATAATAATATATTATTTTTATTATAATTAAATAAGAATTTATTCTTCTTAGTTATATATAGCTAATTCTTTAAATATAATAATAATCTAAGTTTTTTTAGATAAAAATTATAGAATATCTTTATAATATTTAGTATATTCTTAAAATTTCTTATTAGATATTATATTATATTATTATTATAATTTTATTATTAAATATAATACTGTAATTTCTAATAATATATCTATATATTAAGAATCTATTTAATTTTCTATTTATTATAATTATTGATTTTAACTAGTAATAAAGGGTTCTTAATTTATCTTAATAGTAGTTCTATTAAGTATATCTTTTAAAGTTTATCTAATAAGAAAACTAGATATATTTAAAAATATTTAGAAAGCTTTAATTTAAATATATTTCCTTTCTTTATAATAATCTTAAATAGATCTAAATTCTAATAAGAAAGCTTCTAGCTAGATTATCTATTATCAAGATACTTAATTATTAATATAATCTTATTCTTAATATCAAAATTTATCTTTTATTAATATTTATTTGCCTATATTTTCTATTATTTCTATATTTGTATTATATTTTATCTTATATAATCCTATATCTATTATAAGTATTTTATCTAGATTTAGACTTGCTTCTAATTCCATATAGAATTCTTATCATTTAATAATAATTAATTAAATAATATTCTTAATATAAAACCTTTTTTAATCTTAAATAGCAATAGTCTAATTAATTTTTAAGATAAAAATACTATAGCAAAGTCTATTATTAATAATTATTTAGATCAATTATCTTAATAAAAGCTAATATAAGATTATAAATAAATTAAAAAATATTAATTTATAATTTTAATTTACCTATCTATAGATATATAATATACTATTAATAGCTTCAGCTTAATCTTTAAAATATAATATATCTCTATCTAGAATTCTAATACAAATTGTCCTTTTTAATCTAATATTATTAAATCTAGCAGGCTAGTCTTAGGGAATATATATCTAATTTATAGTCTAGCTATCTTTCTAGCTATGACATTCTTGATATAAAGAATTAATCTTAATTTTTTACTCAATCAGTTTACTATTATAAAGATTATATTAAAATTATGCTTGTCCTCTAGATAAAATATAAAATCTATTAATATATACTACCATAGTCAAATAGATATAGGCAGTGGCTTTAGTAATTCTAGTAATAAGTCTTTATATATATTTATCCTCTTACATATAAAATAGTTATTAATATATTATTTAACATCCTAATTCTATATCTTCTAATAATATTATTTTTTTAATAATTTCTTTATTTTATTTTTTCCAAAATAAGTAATTGTGACGGGGGTTGCAAGAACGTAGCTGGGATTCAGCTTCGGCCTAGGAATAGATTCGAATATATAATATATATACATGTATGCTCAGCAGCTAATCACTGCCTCACGAAGGCCTGAGGCCACCCGCGGTTATAAGATGGTGTATATCAAGCTGCTAGTCCAATTAGTAGCAAAAAGCCGGACAAGGTTATATGCCTACTATATTTTAAAACTATTCCCAACTCTATCTAGGATTTTGCCTTACAGCTATCCTTTTCTTTATAAGAGTGCATCCCTAAGCTTAAACTTTGCAGACTTATAGGGTTTAGTATATAAAATTAGTAGTTTAAGTTTTATAATAAAATCCTTATTCTTAATAGAGAAATTAAAAATAGATAATAGATATTAGATAAAGAATTAAATATATAAAAAGTAATTAAGATTGATATTAGTAATAAGTATGTATAAATTCTTATCTCTCTTATTCTAATTTCCTTTTTCTTTCTCTTCTCTTTTTTAGCTTTATCTTCTTCCTTAATAATAAGTGTTATTTTAATACTATACTTTTTTATTAAAATTTTATTAAATATAGATTTAGTATATCTTATATTATTAATTTTTTATTTTTTCTATATTAATTTGATACTTAGAGTAATAATAAGATAATTTTAACTATCTTATAATTAAATATGGCAGTTAACTTAGAGTGTCTAATTTTAATAATTTAAACCTACTCTAGCTATCCTTCTCTTTAAGAGTAGTATCTTAATACTTAAGAAAACACTAACATAATAGTAATTTATTATTATTAATCTAGATTTATTCTTATATTCAGAGTATCTTGTAAAAATATTATCTATATAAATAAGTTAGCTATATAAAATAAGTTATAAAGTTAGACAAATATTAATATAGTTACTAATAATATAAATAAATAAGTAATTTAAACCTCTATATACTCCTAAGAATCTTTTAGTTAAGTTTCTTAATGTAGTCCCTACTTTTAGTGCTATGTTTAATAACTCCTAGTTTCTTACATCTCCAAAGAGTAAGATAAATAATAATATTCTATATGTAGGATTTTAATACTAATAGGATATAGAAATATATAGTTAAATCTTTATATAAACTTCTATACTTAATCTGCTTTTAATTATAAACTATTTTAAATTCTTATAATTATATTAAGCAGC